CACAGCAACGTTGGGTCCCATCCTTCTTCTGGACTAACACGACAGGAGCTGACCAAGGACTATCTGATTTTTCGAGTATCCCTTCCTTAAAATAGGCATTCCATGACCTTCTCCATCTTTTGTCACTTTGCCGGAGCTATTCTTCTTGGAGGGATCTTTATTGGATGGAGATTGCCTGTGTTTATTCTGTGCTCCACAAGGTCTGTGCATCCGAGGTCATGATCTCCTTTTGAAAAGACGTCTGCATAATTTACCAAAAGTTCCCTAACCTGAAGAGCCTGTGATGATGACAAATGGACTGTGCTCTTCTTATAGAGGTCAGTTAAATGTTCTGGAAGTGTATGTCCTTTCTTTATGGTTGTATTTCTTGCTTTAACATTGACTGGCTCTAACTCCTGGCACACACCCAACAATGACCCTTCCTTAAGTGTCTGCTCACATTTAGAGAAATTGGCCACTGTTATAGGTACTACTTGATGACCTGCTCCAAGTGACCTTCCAATCTTCAAATCCGCTGGCCTGGATGGGTCTTCCACTGCTTCCACAAGCATTGGGCTTCCTTGGGGGGTGTTCTTTTATTCTACCCTAAATTATCTTCTCTGACATAGGGGTATTGTAGTTGACTTAAGTGCTGTGACGTGCAAATCAACAGATGCAGCAACACTTACTGGAATTTGGCCTTTGTTGTTTCCAATCGTCATTTTATCGAAGTTAACTACACAATTCCACGGTATTAAATAGTCCAATCCTAATATGCACTGGTTTTCAATGTCAGCCAAGTATACTTTCTGTCTGTTCTTCATGCCCATGAGCTCAATAGCTACTTACACTGGTCCCCACAACCTTGCATAATGTCCTGTCATGCCATGATACTCACAAGGGTTTGCTGAGATGCAGAATCTATGACAAAGTTGCACCTTTGGCCATCCAGCTTTCTTGTCACATAGACACTATGTGTGCTTGCCATTTTACACTTAGCTGTTGGGACTTTCACGAAGGGGGTTGGTGGGTTTTCCTCAGCACCAACCACTACCGTTTTCCCGTAGCTGACTTATTGGTAATATTCTTCTTACACTGGCTCCTCATGTGTCCTTGCTATCCACAGTTCCAACAACCTTTCTGGGTAGCAGCCTTTCCAACTGTGGCATCTTCCCTGTGTTGAAGTTGCCAGCATTGAGCTCTCTTGTGCCCAGGTTTATTACAGTACCAGCAAAGTCCCTCAAACTTCTCCAAAAGCTGCCCTTTTTATGGCCTTGAAACCTGATGACTGTACCAACCTTGGTACCCCTGTGCTG